GTAGAGGAGAGGACCACTAAAGGGGGACTACGACGACACACAGAGGGGAGAAGACCAGGAAGGGGAGAGGTTCATTAAGAGACAGGGAGGGGAGAGGTACATTAAGGGACAGGGAGGGGAGGTGAGGGGAAAGGAACACGAAGGGAGGGGAGGGGTACACTAAGGGACAGGGAGGAGAGGTGAGGGGAAAGGAACACGAAGGGACAAGGAAGGGAGGGGAGGGGTACACTAAGGGATGGGGTGGGGTACACTAAGGGACAGGGAGGAGAGGGGTACACTAAGGGATAAGGAAGGTAGGGGAGAGGTACACTAAATATTTTTGAAAACATAAAAAATTTAACTGGCATGTATATTTTGTGCATTTACCACTTAATAAAATAAAGATTTGCTAAAAAAAAATAAATTAAATAAACATGTTTAGTAAACAGTAGATTTGTTTTTTGAATTTTTCTTTTTTTAAAGAGATTTAAATGTACAGAATATCGGTATCGGTAAGTTATCTTCTGTGGACCTAAAGGTTCACAGATTATCGGTATCAGCTCTGAAAAATCAATATGTCCATCCCTAAAATGTAATAACCATTATATTATATTGTACCTCAAACACTGAATGTAGCACTCAGATTCTTACCATGTTTGCCTTTATCAGGGCTTTGCTTTGTGATTAATAGAATCCATGATAACGCTGTCCATTTTTCCATGTAGGGGTACAGCGGTACACCCCATTGTTCTTAGAATGTGAGTGTTTAGAGACCTGCTTTTTAAGGATTAATTTGTGTATTCTTTATTGTACTCGAGCCATGTAATTGGCAGATTGGTGGAAATGTTCTTGTATTCACGGCAAATTTTGTTTCCTTACACAGGCCACACCGCTATTCATTATGAAAAGATACAAGCTTACATCTCCCGCATTTCAAACTTTCTGCCTGAAAGTGCTTCCTGCACCCCTGCTTGGTGAGTGCTGACACTTTCTGCTCACAAACTATACATGTTAAAATAGTTCTATCCATAGGGAGCTATCAGACGTGATCCAATTTAAACAAATATAGATTTATGTGGTTTACATTTTGTAATCTAGAACACAAGTTATTTACATTGTGTTCTTCTTATCTGCAGCTGCCTTGAGTGCATTTAATGTGGTTGCAGCGCGGTTTCCGGAGACTGAGGACGGGATTGAAGTTATAGAAAAAAGTGGTAAAGTTGTTGGCATATCGCGACAAGCAGGAAAGAAGGTACAGAGCAATTTATTGATGTGACTGCCGGCTTGAGCTTGGATTGATATGCCTGAACCTAGAACCATCACAAAGGACATGGCTCTCACTAACAGGACAGGAATAAACTCTGTCTTTTACTTGCTCCCAAGAGCCCAGCTCGCTGCATTTCATATTGTGAAATAAAAGGCTTTAAAATTGCCACTAGCCACTGGCAAGTAAAAATTCAGGTTTGGCAAGTAAGCCTGCGTAGTACCATAGGATTTAAAATGTTAAGCCCTGAGATATCTTTAACTCCATATAACACAGTTTGTTTTTGCACCAGCTGCATAGTAAGCACTCTGATGTCTGGTGGGAGCTAAACAATGGGTGCTTCTGCATGAAACGTGTAGTTTATTAACATAAGCCACAGATTAAACTAACATTCTATTCGTTTATGTGTCTGAAGATTGCTCTTTATTTGTAGCAGGTTAATGCAGCTCAGTAGTTGACAATTTTATTCTATTTATTTACATGTAACCTGTGTAAAGCTGTAACATGGCATATTTGATTTATTTTCTTTTACAGGCTGTGATGGAAACTGCGGTATCTCGAGCAGCTTTGATGGGTGTTACAGTTCTAACCCCCATCCTTCTAGATGCAATCATGAAGGGGTATGTCTCATTCTGTCAGAGTCTTGGTGGGCTTTCTCATTCAATGGCGCTGATCAATGTCTGAGTTTCTTTATCCTTGCATTTTTGTCAGAAAAGATAATATATTATAAATCATAAACATATAATATTATAGAGACACGGGTCTTACCACCAAGGATGTCCTTTTCCCCCTTCCTGGATCTCTGCTTCGAAGGCTTCCATGATTATAGCTTTCCCCCACAAACATTAGCTGAGACTTAATGCTGGGAGTGAACTGGTTTAATAGGACACGGTACACGAAATTTATACACAGACCCCCAGCAAGGGTTCAACACAAACTCCTCCTCGGCATCCCTGTGTCTGGGAGATAATTGAGTCTAAGATCGATAACTCAATTATCTCTAAGTTACAGGGACCCACAGAGAAAACACCCTAAAACAGTTTTTTTCAGGAGCCCCCACAAGTCCTTTATCCCCAGATAGCCCAGATCCAAGCTCTCAAGCTGTCCAAATAGCGCTCAGATCCGTTTTGTAGTACAGAAACTCCATCCAGGTAAAGTTCTGACCAACCAGCCAGGTGGTCGTAGCCCAAAAGAGTTCCAGAGTGAAATAGGTTGTGGCGGTCTCTGTTTGGGAGTTCCTGTATTCATAGAAATGAGTGTTCGGTTCTGGTCCAGGGAGCAAATGTTCATTAAGTGTGTGCAAACAATTTGCCCAAAGAGCGCTCTCCTGGGTCCTCTGGAAAAGAAGCAGGCGACAGTACAAGTTCAGCAGTGTTCGCGAGTTAGTCTGTTCGATTTTAGTTCCATGCACTCGATGTCCGAACACCACTGTCTGCTTTCATGCGACAAAATAGCCGCCAACTCATTACCAACGTGTTCACTCATGCGAAAGGCGGTCACCTAGTAGAACACTTGACTTAACGAGGCGTTTGCCAAAATAACGAGGTGTCAAGAGAGGTCAAGGTATGTGTGCCAGTCCTATAATTACAGATCGTGACTCAGTTGGCCACACAGCTTCTATTCTAATAATATGCTCTGCACATACTGCCATACCCTAGCGGAGCACTGCCTCACCTAGACTGGCGTTATACAGTTTGTGTAACGTAGATAGAATGACAAACAATGTGCTGGCAGAATTAGTTTAAAATGAGAGAAAACGCTTTACCATTGTCCCGAAATCTCTGATTTATTTTGCTCACCCCTGTATGTATGATTTTTGTAAAGCTAAGGAACTTTATCAGTGCTACAGTGATCTTAACAAGCCAAAAGGTGGTCTGCTTGTGGGGGTATAAAAGGGGAGAATCGTGCCTTTGTTCGGTTACCGAACCATAAGGGAAAAAAAAACTGCCAGCAAATGTCGGTGTCCTGTCACAATATGCAGTATTTTCACATGCTCATTATACACCACTCTTTTAATGCCGTTCCATTTCCACTGCAGGGACATGGCACCCAGACCTCTTCATTGAGAGAACGTGGTCTGGGTGCCCATAGTGTTCCTTTAACAAACCATAACTGTTGTCTACTGGGTCATTTTAAAAAGCAGGAGCTCCAACACGTTTTATTATTTTTAGAAGATTGATCCACCTGGCTGTAGTTTTACTAGTAAATCACTGACTTTCTTCTGTTGTAGTAACTTAGTTTTGCCCAACTTGGTGGTTTTTATCCGTTCACATTTTACGGTGTAGTAGATAAACCCTTGAATTTAGGCCTATAGCCTTTATAGTTTAAATTGGTTGTATTTGTATGTATCAGCTTTTGGTTCGGGTAGTCTATTCGTCACTTAAAGGAACACTTCCACATACTGACACCACATGGACGAACGTCCAAATGGTCACTTGGGTAGCGACCTCACACAAACACTATTACTGAAACGCTCCCCCTTTTTTCTTTTCTGTTGATGTTAGACCGTAATTGCAATTGTCCACTAACTAGTAACTAACTGGCATGCAACTAACCTAATAACAATGGAGACCTGCGAGTCTCATAACCTGCTTAAATGTTCACGGACCCTGCGCGTTCCATGGTTTCACGCTTAATTGACACAGACCTGCGTGTTGTGTGCTATGCTGTTCTATGTTATGCTTGATTCATACAAAAAAATTAAAATGGATGATGGGAGGATCTCTTGTCGAAATAAACAGATATAAAAGAAAAAAGGGCAACACTCCAAAGTTAGAATTAAATGTATTTATTTCTAAGACTGGATTGTTCGATGTTTTCTTTATTAGTGATGCACTTTGAAGAATCATTGCAGCTGTGTATATAATATGCTTTGTGAATGACTATAGATATTTTTATACACTAATCTCCAAGGGTCTATTATCTTGTTCACCTGACGTGATCTATATGGCTGCATTTATGAGTGTAGCTTTGTTTATAGAGTATTTCTACAATGTGACATTCATCTGATCTCTCTCTCTCTCTAGGTACCGCATGCTACTTTCCCCCATTAAACATATAGCGGCAGTGCTAGTATTTGGAACACTGGTTCCTGCGTCATTTAGTGTCTTCCCACAGAAAGGAAAGGTGAGGTCTTGCCTAATACTGCGTGCTTCAGGATGCTCCCTCCAGCATGTGAATGCTATATACTGCCTGACTGGACTTAGAATGTATGTGTGTAAGGGTGGCAGTCCTATAATCACAGATCGTGACTCAGGTGGCCACACAGCTTCTATTCTAATAATATGCTCTGGGCATACTGCCTTACCCCAGCGGAGCACTACGTCACCTAGACAGGAGTTACAGTTTGCGTAGCGTATATAGAATGACAATGTGCCGGCAGAATTAGTTTTAAAATGAGAGAAAATGCTTTACCATTGTCCCAAAATCTGATTTATTTTCCTCACCTTTGCATGATTTTTGTAGAGCTAAGGAACTGTATCAATGGTAGGACCCTCACACCCTATTTCTGCTTTATATTATTACCCCCTAACATTGCATCCTAGTAACTATTCTGTAGTAGTTTATTTGGCTCTGTGTCTCCCCAAATCCTGTATTCATTATCCCCCAACCCTTTCTAGTATATAAAGGAGTATTGGCTAATCTTTGGCATGGTAGCCATTATGGATCACGTTTCCCATGATGACCTAGCAGCAGAATGTGAACATAGTCCACAATACCTAGGATGTCTCTTATAAAAGCTCTTACTGTTATTTCCAGATTGCGAGGACAGACTTAGAAAAAGAACTTCAAAGTGGCACAACAGCATCGGAGCTCTATTACCACAGAGGACTTTAACTTCTCTTATCAAAAGAGCATCAGTGGAAGAAGAAAGGAGGACAGAATGCACAACATAAAACAAAAACAGCAACAAGAGAGTGTGGTGCACCGTTAAAGACATATTCTGTGTGTGTGGTCACATGTTAGAATAGTGTAAATACAGCAGTAAAGATAAATAAACATAATGTAAAACCACACACAAATCTAGAAAAAAAAAAAAAAATGGAGGATAATATTGCACAAAATTCAAACAGGGCCACAAGAAGGTCCAAAGACCCTTCTACCATATACAGCAGTGGTCCCTCAGCATAAGTTGAGGTTGGAGTCCGCCCTGGTAGATGTAATCTCGCCAAAAGACAGGAGGGAGTAAGTTCTCCTTGAATAGTGATAAATCCAGGCTGCAGGATCCCACTGAAGACTCTTTAATAACGACCGCTTTCGTCAGCAAGACTTTGTCAAGGTAAAGTAGGTTCTGACTGTCCAAAAAGTCCCGCCTTATAAACCCCACCAATGATGATCGTGATAGATCACACATGTTTATTGTTAATCATCCAAAAAGATGGCTGGCTGGCTGGCCGGCTGTGATCATGCCGACAACACTAATCTTCCCCATTTGAGTAAAGTGCCCAGAAAACATTCTTGGCAACTTCGCCCACATTCCCTTCCAGACGGCAATCTTATGCTTGGAAATAAAATCAATTAAACCATAAGGCGTACCTTCATATAGAACACCAAAATAATGGCTGCCCAGGATCACCATCGCGACCATGCCCACTGACTTAGTATTTAGACCACACAATGAACAACAACATACAAACTAGCAGCTCCTACCTTGTGAGTCTAAAATGCCTCCCAGGTAATATAAACAAATTGGATACATTGAAAGTACCTCCCAGGGAATATAAACTCCATACAGATTGGATACATTGAAAGTACCTCCCAGGGAATATAAACGCCATACAGATTGGATACATTGAAAGTACCTCCCAGGGAATATAAACGCCATACAGATTGATTACATTGAAAGTACCTCCCAGGGAATATAAACTCCATACAGATTGGATACATTGAAAGTACCTCCCAAGGAATATAAACGCCATACAGATTGGATACATTGAAAGTACCTCCCAGGGAATATAAACGCCATACAGATTGATTACATTGAAAGTACCTCCCAGGGAATATAAACGCCATACAGATTGATTACATTGAAAGTACCTCCCACGGAATATAAACGCCATACGGACTGGATACATTGAAAGTACCTCCCAAGGAATATAAACGCCATACAGATTGGATACATTGAAAGTACCTCCCAGGGAATATAAACGCCATACAGATTGATTACATTGAAAGTACCTCCCAAGTAATATAAATGCCATACAGATTGGATACATTGTCAGAGTATTTATATCGGCAGACATTTTGTGCTATGATAGAAACTAAAAGTGTATATTCTGAGTCACTCTGAACAGATCAGACTCCATTTTGTTATTTCAAGTTAACAAAAAGACACTATATTTCTATCTGTAAGCTAACCACTTTCCCAGATCTGAGGAATGCATAGTATATACAAACAAGTGATAAGGAAGGGGGTTGGACAGACTGTCTAATGCTAAAAGAATATAATCAAATCTAAACCAGACAATTGTGACAGAGAAGATTAAATAATTTAATATTTAACTGTCTATATATATAAGGTACCATTGTATGGAAAAGGGTAAACTTAGTTCATGATCTGTCATATCAGAAATTATGGCAGGAATTGCAGACGCTAAGTCTGGACAAAATTTAAGAAACCCTTTGAAATTTTAAATTATGGCGCTATAAAGATAACGCAAAATGACGTCAAAATAGCCACCAGGAAAAGTTAACTCTTTCCTGGATAGGTATGTTTAGTGGGACAAGACTGCCCTCTACAGACCAAATAACTAATTTGCGATCTGGAAGATAACCACACCTCTAGTGCTTCTATTGGGTTATCAACTGATGACGTACAGAGAGTCTGGCCCTTTAAAAGTTAAGACAAAGGGAAGATAGAGATACAAGAAAGAGACGAAGGAGGCAGATGCAAGATATGCAACGGAGAGGAGAGAGGAATTGGAAGTTTGGGGATTCCAACTCGGACAACATCTGAGAATAACACTCTACTCCTAAAACTCTAACACTTAGAATTTACTGACTTTCTAACCAACACCTCCATGCAGAGAGACTACCAATTGGATGAAATATCTACTCAACTGGTAATTATACTGGTTTCATTTAATTAAATTAAATTAATTAAAATGTATTAATAGCATTATATATGACTGGATAAAGCACGGTCAGATTTCCATATTAAGAAATCTTAGTTAACTAAGAATATATAGTTATAAACATTCCATTCTGCAGGTGGAATTAAGAATAATTATATATTGATGTGATATTATCACGTGTTAGCATACCGCTGTTTTTATCCAGGTGTATTGATTTGCTCTAAATTAAGATAGATATCTTTTAGACAAATTAAAAATCTGTTTATATAATGTGGTAAATTCTCTTATGGATGGTTTAAGAAAATGACTAGTGAACTGGGTTAAATGTTATTTTATTTAAAAATACATAAGAATAGATCTTAACTACCTAGGAGATCTAGCCAGCATTGAAAGGGTTATTCTAACTGTCTGCTAAACTTTACGACCTTACGCTGCACTCTGAGGAATTCTGTTCTCTGTGTGAAAAGTTTTACTTTCAGTCTGTGTTAAAGATGGTAATAAATAAGTCTTGACAGATAATGCTGTTTTAGCCATTGAAACGTAATACCCATTCCTTTGTATTGCATACCATTTTATACTGGATATTCATTGATTATTGTCATGCATGTTACATATTATTATTATTAATTTGTTATTATAAATAAAAATCTATTTTTATACATTGTGATATTATTTATATGAAATACATTCCACTTAACACGATAAACGTTCTTTGGGATCTGAGAATTGAATTAGTGGGCAATTCTCACTGTTACTATTATTATCCCATAAATATTCCCACATATTGGAGGCACGGTGCTGAGATCGTTTAAGTTGAAATTGTATTTCATATATAATAATAATAATGGTGTAATTCATGCAATTTAATCTTAATATAGAAAAGAGTTTTGTATTGAGATTAATTAATAAAATAAAAATAAAAATGGCCAGTGGCAGTGATAAATCTGTAACAGATAATACTGAAATAATTGAAGACCTAAGAAAACATGCTCTAGTTCATATTCATAAACATATGAAAAATGATGCAACCTATGAGGTTTGGTTGAAAAGCATAGAATGGGAAGCTAAACACACCATTCTAACTGATGAACACATTATCATATATCTTAAAGAAATTGCTGAACAAAAGAACATAGAAAGGAAAATGGCGTTCATAATACACTCTTGGCCTTTCTTTATGACAGCACTTCTTAAGGTGTGTGATGAAAACAAGTCACTGAATGCCAAATTGGACACGTACAGTGACGATCTGGGCATTCAAAATGGGAAATACCAAGATTTACTTGCTGAGCATAAAATTCGTCAGGCTGATCATGAAAAAGAAATGAAAGCTTTGATGGATAAATATGCACAGGAAATAAATCAGCTTAAAATGCAACTGGATGAGTATGAAAAGGAGAGTCAGAAATTAGACAGTGAGGTTGGTAGTCATCATTCTGTGCCAAAAAGTTGCACAAAAATGCAAGAAAGGACTATCTGTAAATCCCCTCCTTATTATGATTTTCCCACACCAAACCAGGTTTTCATAAAACAGTCTGTAAGTAAAGGTGTGAGTAATTCTAAAAAATCAACTGTGGAACAAGATTCCCCATCTCATGACATTACCAAGCCATCTTGGCAATCTTGGGCAGAACAGTTTGAAAAAGCTGTCTTGGCCAAACTTGAGAGGGAGAGTCCAATTCAATGTGATAGGAATGAAAACAGACATGGTTCTGTACACTGGCAGAACTCTGATGCAGATCAGAATTGTGACAGTGAACAAGAAGCTCAGAGTGATGGGAGTGAAAGTGATTGCACTGTCCACTCTGAAGGCCATGTAACTGATATGCCATCTGCACTGTTGTACGGGTCTAATTCCTCTTCAGCAGACAGATCGCATAGACGTTTACCCAAACACAGAAACAGAGGTCGTAATTCAACGACGCCTGTTTATGAAACACCAAAGGTCATCAAATTCCTTAGAGAGACTGTCCCACAATTTTCTAGAGGTTCAGGAAACATATCTGAACATCTGGAAAATTATGATAGAGCAATGAATTCATTGGGCATGTATGATGACATTCATAAGAAATGGTTCATTACATGGACCTTTGATTCAATGTGTCGTGTTTATCTAGAAAGTCTTCAAGCTATACAGTTAATGTCCTGGTCCAAGATGAAATATGAAATAATCATGGAATATGGTAAGTATAAAACCATTGCTTCTGCAAAGAAGGCGCTTTATAACTTAAAGTGCCGTCCAGATCAAAGCCCCAGAGAATTTTTAATAATTCTTAAAAATGCATACTCCGTGGCCCAAAGAAAACCCAGGTATGAAAGCACAGACTTCAAAGATCTGTATTTTCATGCCATGCCAGTAAACATACAAATGAATCTCGCAAGAGATTACGATTGTAAGTTGCCATTAGAATGGCTAGTCAGTCAGTGCATGAAATTGTACACTATACACCATGCACATGACGAAAATCAGCCAAAGGTTAAGAAACCTGGTGATAAAATGGTGTCAGAGACTAAAACTCAGTTAGGTTTAGAAACCCAACAGAAAAAGAGGACCTATTCCGAGGTTTTGAAAACACCAAAACCTCAGAAACAGGAAAACGCCAGAAGCAATTCTGCAAATTCCTCTAATAACTCTGAAAAATCCAATGCCAATGGGAATAAACGCCCCTGGGTTAATAAAAACCAAGGCAATTCCCAATGGAGAAGGAATCCTCAGGGAAATAGGAGATATGGAAACAGAAACAACCAATCTGCTTCCAATAACTCCCAACAGTCTCAGCCATCCCAACCAAATTCTAATGGGCAAAGACAAAACGGCAATGGGGGAAATAATTTGCGTCGTCAGGTTGGTCAATTGACAGACCAGATGGGCAAATTAATGGAGGAAATGACAAAGATCAACCAAGTCTTTGCTCTAAATCCTTTTTTAGGGATAGCTCCAATTGCAGAACTACCTGTGCAACCGCAGCAACAACAACAGGTGCCGCAGCAATAATAGCCACTGTGACTAAACAGGCTAGGTTATCAGTAGATGTAATGCCTAACCCTGTTTCCTTTCCAAGTACTAAAAGTCAAACAAACAATAGTTGTGTTAGAAAACCTATTGCCTATACCGTCACTTCACTTTCGGGTGAAGGAGGCGCAACGTGTTCCTCTGTTTTTTCATTTCAGCCAAAGGCTAAAATAGCCCCAGCAACCACTAGTTTCCAGGATCCAGACCTGAAAGGGTTAACTGATGAGATGCCGACCACTAGTTCCCGCTTGACAGTTCAAGATATTCCTAAGAAGGATGGGCCTGTGGGTAAGACTGAGCATTCCTCAGTACAGGTAGAAACTACTGCTGTGACCGGTAATGTATGGAAAACAAGTAATATGTTGACACATTCTAAATTCTTATGTGAATTAGAAGAACATGAAGGAAGGTACTACATGTCTGTAGAAATACAGGATTCGCTACCCCAGCCTTTTAAAGGGTTAATAGATACTGGTTCACAAGCCACTATCTTATCCAATACCTACTTCCAGCAGGTAATGGACTTAGCAACGGATAAGCCGAAGCTAAGAGATTTCCCCAATGCTCTGTTGAGTGTAGGAGGAAATGCCCTTCATGTTATTGGCAATACCTGGTTAAAGTTTAAAATAGGTAACAAAACCTTTAGACACCCGGTGATAGTGGTAGATCTCCCCTATGACCGACTGATTCTGGGTATAGACATACTCAGAAGACTTAACACGATTATTGACTGTGTGAATGGAATTGTATGGTCACAAGCTAAGGTTCCTATAACCTATGAGAAATCACATGTTCAATCTGATCGTAACTGCCATGTGATAGAAGAAAGACCTGACTCGATAGAGGTACATTTTAGGAATAGTCAGTCACCTGACGTGACTATCCTGCAGGTGAATGATGCAATCGCACCTGTAGATGAGCATTCCATAAGAATTGCTCCAGAGAGGATCCAGAATGTCTCTCTGGAAGGTGATGTTTTAACCATTTCTCTCCACAGGGACTATGTCGAATCTGTAGATCTGGCAGGTCATGCTCAATTCCTTGCCAGAATTGAAAGGGCTAATAACAACTTATTCTTTCCTATTCAAATACATGACTTAGGAAGAAGTAGGAATGCAAAGCTGGACTTACAGAGTGAGAACAGCTATATTAGCAGAAGTCTGTTAAAGCAGATAGCTAATCCTAAAATGATCAGGTACGCTTCCCCACATGACAGGTGGATCCAGAATCTGGATGGTGAATCAGAGAGTCACAATGTGATAGCAAAATGTTTACTATCTATTTCCATCGGAAATAAGACCGTTAAACATTTATTCCTAGTGATAAACGAACCTCGCTATCAGGTTTACGTTGGCAATGATGTCATACATCGCTTTGCCATACACCTTGATCTGATTAATTCCAACTTGTGGACAAGGTTAAAAGGTAATCCTTGTAGTTACCTACACGAGGAAAATGCCCTGAAATCAGGACAAATACTCCCATATGCGGTAAGTATCCAAGTTCCTGATGACATAACCATTCCCCAGGGGACAAGTAACTTTCTTTTACCCCTACAGGTCAAGGAGGGTCAGAGATTGGAAAACTCTGATGCCCTAATCTGTTTATCCAACAGGATACAACAATTAGGGATGGTGGTAACACATACACCAATGGTAAGTATTGGTAAGAATCCCACCTATATCATGGTCAACAATGTTACACCCAATAGTGTTACTTTACCAAAAGGAACATTATTAGGTCTAGCATTGGATGCTGAGTACTATACATTTGGTTTCCAAAACCAAATTATAGGCCTCATCCCTGAAGAATACTTAACTGAGGACGAAATTGTCGATCAAATATTCCATTCCTCCCCAGAAGGATTATTCACTATCCTATCTGTATATCCCTTCAATGTTGAAGAAGGCTCGTGTAAAATCGAAGAAGCATCTATCACCTTCGATCATCCGCTCAATGAGCAGGAATCACAAGAGTATCACGACCAAAGAGAAAAGGTAAGTCAACACCGAACTGACCTAACTTCTAGGCTTGAAGAAGCTTATGAGATAGGCCAGCCTGAAATCTTTCCAGGATTTCAGGAAAGGCTAGAAGAGCAAATATCTTTAGCTGACGGTTGCTCCAACGATGCTGAGCGGCAACAGCTAAAGGAAATCCTTTTGGAATTCCAAGATATTTTTGCCAAAGATTCCTACGACTGTGGGTTAACTAACCTCCACGTAGCCAGAATACAAACTGATCCAAATTTACCACCTGTATTTATCAAACAATATAGACTCCCATTAGCGTCATATGATGGTCTACAAGACATCATTCAGAATTTAAAGGAAAGGGGCATTATACGTCCAGTGCACAGTTCGTATAATAATCCGATCTTGGGGATTCTGAAACCTAATGGACAATGGCGTTTATGCGCTGACTTACGACAGCTAAATAAACGCGTCTATATGTCTGGTTGGCCAACGCCATACATAGACCAATGTTTGGTACAAATGCAGGGATCCAAAATATTCACTGCCATTGACTGTGCGCAGGGATATTGGACTGTACCAGTCCATAATGAAGACCAATACAAATTGGCCTTCACATTTGGAAAGCAGCAGTATACCTGGACCCGTATGCCTTTCGGTTATATAAACTCTGGTCATGAATTCGCTGTGTTCATGCATAAAGCTATGCCTGACGCACTCGAGAGAGGAACGTTATCATATGTCGACGATGTCTTGCTGAAAAGCACTTCCTTTGATAAGCATATCTTAGAGATTAGACATGTTCTCACTCAGTTAAGAGAGGCAGGGATTAAACTGTCTTTACAAAAGGCACAATGGTGTCGCACCCATGTCAATTTCCTCGGACATGAGGTAACTTCTGAAGGATTAAATCCCCAGAGGAAGAAGGTTGAAGCCGTACTAAAGGCTAAAACACCTTCAAACATCAGGGAATTAAGATCGTTCCTTGGTATGACTAACTACTCCCGTAAGTTTATAGATAACTATGCAGAAATAACTAAACCACTCTTACACCTGCTTAAAAAGGAAACTACCTGGAACTGGGGGGAGCCTCAGGACCAAGCGGTAAGTGAACTGAGGAGGAAGCTCACTCAGGCACCCTGTTTAGCATACCCAGAGGGGGGTAAACCCTTCTATCTGGAGACAGGATATACCGATTTAAGCATAAGTGCTGTTCTGTATCAGAAGCAGGACAGTTTAAACAAAGTTATTGCATATGCTAGCAAGACTTTGTCACCTGTTGAAGTTAAATTCAACACGTGTGAGAAGGCGTTATTGTCGACTGTCTGGGCACTACAAAATTTTCGTAGCTATATCCAAGGTGAGAAAATAATTGTAGAAACAGCTCACCAACCTCTACAGTATCTGCAGAGTGAAAGAATTAGAGACGGTAATCTCTCTAACAGTCGGATTACTGCATGGACTCTATCCTTACAGGGATGGCCGTTAGAAGTCCGTTATAAACATAATAAGAGAAGCCCAGTTGCCCAAGGTTTAGCAGAATTACATGACTGTACTGCTCCATCTCTGGATGATAATGACACCGGAGATGACTTCCTAGAAGAGCAATTGCTATCTCCTTATAAAGTTTATGACGAGGAATACTGTCGACCACTACCGTGGGTATACATTGATGGTTGTTCATATCACCACGTCTTGGTGCTGAACGGAAGTTAGTTGCAGGTATCGGAATCGCCTGGACAGGTGATTATCCTAATGTATCTATAGGATACAATATTGGTCCCAAAAGCAGTCAGATAGCCGAACTCTGTGCAGTATATAAGACCATTCAAATGGCAATAGAATATGGTATCAAAGAATTTGTTATTATAACTGATTCCAACTATGTTCGCAACAGTTTCGTCGAATATCTGCCTAGCTGGAAACGTAACCAAATGCTGAAAAGCAATAACAAACCTGTTAAACATGGGAAATTGTTTTGTAAAATTGATGAACTGGTTAAGGAAAATGGTTTAACCATATATTGGAAGAAAACCAAAGGCCATTCTAAAATAGAAGGTATTGATAAGGATGGTAATGACTTAGCCGATTCACTGGCAAAACAAGCTGCCATCAATGGTGAAACCCTAAACATTGATGATCTTATGGGTTCAATTCATGTTGAAGCCATAACTAGACGACAGGCTAGAGATAATGCCGACTTAAATGTCGTGCAATGGAGTCAAGAAGCTCCTAGTGAGGACCTGATTACCAGTCAAAAGAATGATCCCGTCATAGGCATTTTCTATAAACATATAGAAGACCCTACTGCCAATCCCATCACAGATGAGGATTGCAAAAATAATGAAGATTTACGAATCTTGATGAGATATAAAGTCCAATTTAGTATCATGGATGGGTTACTGGTCAGAACTTCTAAACATGGTATACAACAATGGGTAGTCCCAACTGTATACAGAGGGTTAATGCTCCAACACGCACATGATGCACCTACATCTGGGCATCGTGGTGATAAGATCACATATGAGATATTGCGTGATTATGCATATTGGCCACACATGTTAAGGGATGTTAAGACATACTGTCAGGGATGCTTGATTTGTCCGCAATATCAACCCCATGGTCCAACCCATCGTGCACCACTTCAGAAGAGGGGGGTGTCATTACCCTGGTCTGATATTCAAATTGACTTTATAGGTCCTGTAACAAGATCTTCAAGAGGTAACAAATACATGTTAACCGTTACATGTATGTACACAAAGTGGATAGAATGTTTGCCTTGTAAAGAGAACACGAGTACCGTGTGCGCCACTTTGTTGATTAACCATGTCTTTTCCAGGTTCGGTCTGCCTCAAAGAATTGAGTCAGACAGAGGTAGTCATTTTACCAGCGAAGTAATGGCTAAGATGTGGAACATTCTAGGTGTTAAACGAAAGCTACATATTGCATACCGCGCTGCGTCTAGCGGGGGGGTAGAGCGATATAACCAGTCTATCGTTAATATTCTAAAGAAGTATGTTAAGGAGTCTGGTAAAGACTGGGACATTAAATTGCCCCTAGTTTTAATGGCGATTAGAGCTACACCTAGCACTGCTACCAAATTGTCACCTTTTGAATTGATGACAGGAAGAAAGATGGTTTTACCACAGCATTTACTATATCGTACTTCGGATCATAACTTGATCAATGCTGCCACTACGCATCAGTATATCGAAGATTTGCGCAAGCATTTACAGCATGCGTTTGCTTTTGCCCAAAAGAATCTAGAAAAAGCAGCGACAGGGGTTAAGACCTATTACGATCTAAAAACCACGAAAAAGGAATATGAGATAACAGATCAAGTCTATCTGTATAACTTTGCGCGAAATCAAGTCAAGGAAAAGAAATTTTTACCTTCTTGGAAAGGGCCATATGTCATTATTGACAAAATTTCCCCAGTAGCGTATAAGATAAAAATTCCTAAGGATGGTGATTTTATTGAAAAGTGGGTTCACATTAACCAGTTGCGTGCTTGTCATCCTAAATCTCAATTAAGGATTATAGGTGTGGATTCAGATGCAGAAGGGTGAACGACTAACCTGGATGAATGCTTGATTCACGTGGTATCGTATGATGTGAAATGTTGTGATGTGTCATGATCTCATGTACGTTCATGTCATTAACCATTTCCTTGCCATCCAATAACTACATTTTATAAGCAGGTTACTAGCTTGTTTAACTGCTATAGGCAAATTGCTGAAGAGTCAGTAATAAATGTAGTGAGGGATGAAGTTATAAAAATAGAATTAGACAGAATACATATGTTGATGAATCGTAATAATGTGTTGTCCTAGGCCAAGTGATGTCACACTGTTATAAGTTTGTATGCTTAACAAACCTTGAATCATTAGTAGATAAGTCTGAAACGAGTTCCTGATCCGTGACTGTCGAAAGATGTCCAAGAAGGATGTGGCGTGTTTCTGGATCGTACTGCTCCTGTGCCAAGAGCTACGGACCGACCCGATCGCAGAGATGGGACCATCCTCCGGCATCCTGATTCAAGAGACACCAGGGTTCATCTTAACAGAGAAGAGGATCCTGACCCGACGTGTGTTCGTCAGCTTGGACCCCAAGATTTCCATCGAGAAGGCATACAACATTTCATCGATGCAGCTTCCTGAGTTACAGACTTGGTACCAGATGCACCTCCAAAGAGCACAGGACCGTGTGCGAAACATCTTGGAGCAAGCCCGGAAACCATTTGTATCCAGTTCTATTCCGATGAGCAACCGACCCAAAAGGTTCCTCACCGCTATAATTGTTGCATTAGTTTGTGCCACTGTCGGTGCAGTTGTCGCAACTGGAATGTCTGCAGCCAACTCTATTACTGTCCAAAAGCTGGATATGGAAATCTATGCGCTAAAGCAACACATTAACGATATTCATCAGGTGATACAACAGCAAAGAACACTTCTCCAAGACGTGTTAACTATTGTGGAAGACACAGTTGTTACAACAAATTTGCATTCAGGAGTTAATTGCCAAATCCACTGAGTTGCACCAAAGTCATGACTTATTCAAGCGTGAACTTTTATTTCTGCATGACCCAATACTGTTCCACACACTTGCTTTTCTTGACGAAGTGCAAACTGGAATGATCGAATTGGCAGGGGGACGCATACCTCTGTATTTTGTATCCAAGGATATTGTTCATGCGATGCTTGCCAATGTGGATGGAGAGACAATTGAGCCTATGCAATTAAATCTGGCCTTTGAGATGGGGAGCGCTATACCTCTCTTAATTGATCCGGAACGTATGGAGATTTGCTTTTTATTGACCATACCATATGTAACTCCCAAAGACATTTGTCAAATGAAAATAATGTACTATGTTAGAAATGATGTGATTGCACAATATGTCTAGTAACTTCTATAGTGCTTATTCATAAGCTAAATTAATTTTGGCTATGAAATGCACTAAAGGGGGGTTATGTCAGAGTATTTATATCGGCAGACATTTTGTGCTATGATAGAAACTAAAAGTGTATATTCTGAGTCACTCTGAACAGACCAGACTCCATTTTGTTATTTCAAGTTAACAAAAAGACACTATATTTCTATCTGTAAGCTAACCACTTTCCCAGATCTGAGGAATGCATAGTATATACAAACAAGTGATAAGGAAGGGGGTTGGACAGACTGTCTAATGCTAAAAGAATATAATCAAATCTAAACCAGACAATTGTGACAGAGAAGATTAAATAATTTAATATTTAACTGTCTATATATATAAGGTACCATTGTATGGAAAAGGGTAAACTTAGTTCATGATCTGTCATATCAGAAATTATGGCAGGAATTGCAGACGCTAAGTCTGGACAAAATTTAAGAAACCCTTTGAAATTTTAAATTATGGCGCTATAAAGATAACGCAAAATGACGTCAAAATAGCCACCAGGAAAAGTTAACTCTTTCCTGGATAGGTATGTTTAGTGGGACAAGACTGCCCTCTACAGACCAAATAACTAATTTGCGATCTGGAAGATAACCACACCTCTAGTGCTTCTATTGGGTTATCAACTGATGACGTACAGAGAGTCTGGCCCTTTAAAAGTTAAGACAAAGGGAAGATAGAGATACAAGAGAGATGAGAGGAGGCAGATGCAAGATATGCAACGGAGAGGAGAGAGGAATTGGAAGTTTGGGGATTCCAACTCGGACAACATCTGAGAATAACACTCTACTCCTAAAACTCTAACACTTAGAATTTACTGACTTTCTAACCAACACCTCCATGCAGAGAGACTACCAATCGGATGAAATATCTACTCAACTGGTAATTATACTGGTTTCATTTAATTAAATTAAATTAATTAAAATGTATTAATAGCATTATATATGACTGGATAAAGCACGGTCAGATTTCCATATTAAGAAATCTTAGTTAACTAAGAATATATAGTTATAAACATTCCATTCTGCAGGTGGAATTAAGAATAATTATATATTGATGTGATATTATCACGTGTTAGCATACCGCTGTTTTTATCCAGGTGTATTGATTTGCTCTAAATTAAGATAGATATCTTTTAGACAAATTAAAAATCTGCTTATATAATGTGGTAAATTCTCTTATGGATGGTTTAAGAAAATGACTAATGAACTGGTTTAAATGTTATTTTATTTAAAATACATAAGAATAGATCTTAACTACCTAGGAGATCTAGCCAGCATTGAAAGGGTTATTCTAACTGTCTGCTAAACTTTACGACCTTACGCTGCACTCTGAGGAATTCTGTTCTCTGTGTGAAAAGTTTTACTTTCAGTCTGTGTTAAAGATGGTAATAAATAAGTCTTGACAGATAATGCTGTTTTAGCCATTGAAACATAATACCCATTCCTTTGTATTGCATACCATTTTATACTGGATATTCATTGATTATTATCATGCATGTTACATATTATTATTATTAATTTGTTATTATAAATAAAAATCTATTTTTATACATTGTGATATTAATTATATGAAATACATTCCACTTAACACGATAAACGTTCTTTGGGATCTGAGAATTGAATTAGTGGGCAATTCTCACTGTTACTATTATTATCCCATAAATATCCCCACAACATTGAAAGTACCTCCCAAGGAATATAAACTCCATACAGATTGGATACATTGAAAGTACCTCCCAAGTAATATAAACGCCATACAGATTGGATACATTGAAAGTACCTCCCAAGGAATATAAACTCCATACAGATTGGATACATTGAAAGTACCTCCCAAGGAATATAAACTCCATACAGATTGGATACATTGAAAGTACCTCCCAAGGAATATAAACTCCATACAGATTGGATACATTGAAAGTACCTCCCAAGTAATATAAACGCCATACAGATTGGATACATTGAAAGTACCTCCCAAGTAATATAAACACCATACAGATTGGATACATTGAAATTACCTCCCAAGGAATATAAATGCCATACAGATTGGATACATTGAAAGTACCTCCCAGGGAATATAAATGCCATACAGATTGGATACATTGAAAGTACCTCCACAGGGAATATAAACTCTCTAAAGATTGAACGCATTAGGGATGTGCATGGGCAAAAAAAAAAAAATTGGTTTGGTTCAGCAATTCCCTAACCAAAACCCTACCCCTAGATGTGTAAGTGGTTGTGGTGTTTTTTTTGTAATTTTCCCTCTCTCTCCTGTTTTGCCACTTTTCAGAAATCCAAAGCACTTCTGAAATTCAGTCATTTGGAAGCATTCAGCTCCAGAAAGACTGAATTCATAGAAATTACAAACCTGCCTCTTACCGTGGGAACTCACATTTCATAACGTGATATTAGAAAATCTTGGTTTCAGGTTCATGATTTGCAGTATCAGACCTTATTTGAATTAGGGCTCGATCAATATACACGAACACTGTGGGTATCTGGAAAAACCACCAAAGCAAATCTAAAAGTCTAAATAAAGAATGACTGCATAAACCTTCAGATCTTTTTCTTTACACGGTAGACAACAAGAGGAAACAGTGTTTAAAACGGACTAGCAGTGTCTCTAACATGGAAACAAACGGTTATCAAGGACTCCTCATTGGTTTCCATAGTGATTTCACCGTCTCTCTGCTTACAGCATTTTCATGGCTTTTTTGTAAATGGAGGTTGTTAAAGGCTATCTAAGTTTTGTATTGAGAAAAAAAACATCAAGAGCCAAAAAAGTAATGTCACAACAAAGTCAGCTTTATTTCAGGCTATGCAGACTGTAACAATAAGTAAAAGGTAATCACTGCTACAGACCTATAATATACAATCAAGGTTACTCAACAGGAATCGGGAAGAACGCATTAGGGATGAGAGTATTGCTTGTCTGTGCCTCTCCCCTTCCTTTTCTGAGCGTATTGCTTGTCTGTGCCTCTCCACCTTCCGAGAGTATTGCTTCGGGAAGAATTTTATAGCAAAATATCCAAATCAAAAGTTCTCCCACTCGGTTATTGGGGACTAAAATTCAGAATGGACTTTTCAATTTTCTTTTTAGTGAATAACTAATTTCGTGTAATCTCGACAATTAATTATGTTCTAGTTTTAGATGTGGTATAGCAATACTTTTGGTCTCAATTAAAATTTTTGGATGACGTGACGAATGCCGTCACTGCGTACCATGCCCACATACTTGCCTGCTTATGGGGTTCAGGTCAGGGCTATTTAACAATGTATTGCTTGTCTGTGCCTCTCCACCTTCCGAGAGTATTGCTTGTCTGTGCCTCTCCACCTTCCGAGAGTATTGCTTGTCTGTGCCTCTCCACCTTCCGAGAGTATTGCTTGTCTGTGCCTCTCCACCTTCCGAGAGTATTGCTTGTCTGTGCCTCTCCACCTTCCGAGAGTATTGCTTGTCTGTGTCTCTCCACCTTCCGAGAGTATTGCTTGTCTGTGCCTCTCCACCTTCCTTTTCTGAGAGTATTGCTTGTCTGTGCCTCTCCACCTTCCTTTTCTGAGCGTAGTATTGCTTGTCTGTGCCTCTCCACCTTCCGAGAGTATTGCTTGTCTGTGCCTCTCCACCTTCCGAGAGTATTGCTTGTCTGTGCCTCTCCACCTTCCGAGAGTATTGCTTGTCTGTGTCTCTCCACCTTCCGAGAGTATTGCTTGTCTGTGCCTCTCCACCTTCCTTTTCTGAGCGTATTGCTTGTCTGTGCCTCTCCACCTTCCTTTTCTGAGCGTATTGCTTGTCTGTGCCTCTCCACCTTCCGAGAGTATTGCTTGTATGTGCCTCTCCACCTTCCGAGAGTATTGCTTGTCTGTGCCTCTCCACCTTCCGAGCGTATTGCTTGTCTGTGCCTCTCCACCTTCCGAGAGTATTGCTTGTCTGTGCCTCTCCACCTTCCGAGAGTATTGCTTGTCTGTGCCTCTCCACCTTCCTTTTCTGAGAGTATTGCTTGTCTGTGCCTCTCCACCTTCCCTTTCTGAGAGTATTGCTTGTCTGTGCCTCTCCACCTTCCCTTTCTGAGTGTATTGCTTGTCTGTGCTTCTCCCCTTCCTTTTCCTGTTGTATTGTAGACCCCATGTAGGGGTCTCTGCCTAACAAACCATGTATAATAAAATAAAAGGATTTCTCTGTACCTCTCCCCCTTCTGAATGTATTGCTTGTCTGTGCCCATCACCCTCCCTTTTCCTGTTGTATTATTTGTATTGTAGCCCCAGGTAGAGATCTGTACATAACAAACCATGTGTGACAAAATAAAATGATTTTTTCTTCACCTGAGAGGGGACTGAATTCTCTCTCAGGCATAGAGGATCATGGGGGATTGGGCTGGAAACCCCTTGCATGGGGCTTTTGCATAAGTGAAATTCTCTGTAACTGAGAGGGGACTCTCAGGCACAGAGGATCATGGGAGGGATGACCCTGTAATGTTGTGTTGGAAAGCTATACCTGCTCTGGACTTTTGCATAAGAAGGCAGTGTGTGGCCCCGAGACAGTCTACTCCCAGCATTAAGTCTAGGCTCGTGTGTGTGGGGGAAAGAGGGGGTGGTAACAGCTATACTGCTCTATTTACTTGCTATACTCTCTGGAGGAGAGCTCTAACCACTGGGAGCTGGGTCCAGGGCTTTGATCCAGGGTGGGAAGAGGCAGCAAGACCCCAGCCAAGCTGCAGCAGCTTGGGGCTGGAAGTGCTTATGGTACTCTGTGATAACTAGGAATCGCGATTGGCGGAGGGACCCAGTTGGGATACAAGGAGGTCTGCCATATCTGGTAGTGTGACAGACCTCCCCGTGTCACTGGAATACAGTTTCTATTTTCACTTCTTGTCTGTTCATTAAAAATGCCCTTTTCCCAGTTTTGGTCAGTAACCAAACAAAACCATGAAATACCCAGACCACCCGTATGCACCGTACGCTTGTTAACCTCATTCACCCCTGAAAAATGTTTCACACCATGGCTGGGTGGCCATCGTTCGCATGTGCGAACACGTGGTGGCGGCCATCTTGTTCCCGCGAACGAAGACAGCGATGTTTGGTCGTCGAGTGCATGAAGCTAAAATCACACCCTCGACCTCGCGAATACCGCTGAACTTCCATACACGCCTGCGTTCGTTCATATACATCCTGGGAGAACACTGTTCGGTGGAATCATTCCCACGAATGAGGTTAACACTATTTGCCAACAAGTTTGAGCATATGTTCGGTATTTTGTGTGTTTTCGTACTCCTGAAAGAGACTGACCGCTACCACTGATTCTATGGAACTATTCTGGGCAGCAGCCTTGTGTGCGGTCGGTCAAAACCTTACCCCAGTGGTGTTTTGGCTGTATTTGTGGGATCTGAGCGCTTTTTGTATATACCGTGCACTCAGGTCCAGGCTATCCGGGAATGTAAGACTTGACAGTGTACATAGTAGTTTGCTGTGTGTTTTGGGGTGTTCTGGAAACTGTAGATTTTCTGTACCTGAGCGGGAACTGAATTCTCTCTCAGACACAGAGTATCATGGGAGGGATGACCCTGTAATGTGTCGGAAACCCTTTGCAGGGGGCTTTTGCATAAAAAGACCATGTGTGGCCCTGAATAAATGAGTTCCCAGCATTCAGTTTTGGCTAATGTTTGTTGGGGAAAGCTATACCTGCTCTGGAGTTACTACTTGATGGCTATTATCACTAGAGGGGCTGCAGCAGAGTTCTTGAGAAGGGAAAAGACCTTCCTGGCGGCGGAACCCATATCTGAGTGGCCGTCACAGACGTCACAATTCTTTCGATAATAAAGCTGCCACTGGCATCAAAATACTGGAAAAAATAGGGGTGGAGCCGACGCCGAATGTAATGGCTGCTTAAATGCTGAGCTCCGAGCAGGCTGACTGAGATTTAGCCATTAACACCCGAAAAATTTATGCTGAACCTATAAAAAAAAATTCTACCACGATGTCTCATCACAAGGGAAAGTATCATGGAGACAAATCCGCCTTTTTCACTGCCAAGTCGCAAACTAAACAAGAGGCCATGCCAGAGACCCTATAAGATGGCGACCCTGAAAGCAGAGGGAGTCGTGACTCCAGCCCTACCTTGTCAGAACCGAGGGATAGAGAGGCCTCGCTGACTCCAGCAATTATCCAATAAATGCTGAATGCCCAATCGGATCAATTGTTTGCTAAATTTTAATCATCTTTTCAGGATCTTATGAAGGAGATTAGGCTCCCGCACCACTCACTTGGAATACAGGATGGATGACCACTGCAGTGCACAATTCAATAGCTGACCAACTGCTCCACATGGAGGGTCGTCCTGACTAGACACAAAGTTAAAATAACGGACCTCGAACACAGTTCCTGCAGGAACAATCTCAGACTTCGCTGTGTGCCGGAGACCACGACCATGGGAGATCTACCGGTATACGCCACCGGCCTGTTTTGCGCCTTTTGCCCAGACATGCCAGAGTTATTCCTCTTGGATAGGATACGAGTGGCAAAAGCGAAAGCAGTTTCGGTCTCCGCACCAAGGGATGTGCTTCTCTGTGCCCAGTACCACCATGTCAAGGAGGCTATCTTGCGGACATGCTGAGCTGTCAAGCACTTACCTGGTGACTACACTAAGATCCAGGTATTTGCCGATATATCACAAACCTTGGCACTCAGACGAATCACCACAGCCCTTCGCAAACACCAGGCGGCGTATAGATTGGGTTTCCCCACCCACCTACTGATAACCCGAAATGGTCAGAGAAAGTACTTACCCCGGAAGCCGGCTTCTCAATTCTAAGATCATGGGTTATTCCACACGATAACCCACCCAGGCCGCTGCGGCTCGCCGCTGAATGGCACCCAGAGAAATGCTGACCTGGGCCGTAGGTACTCCCTTGCGAACACGCATGATATACACGATTAGAGTACAACAAAGAATACTTCCAATCCCATTCTTACAACCTATGCTCGCATAATCTTTTATAAAGGCACTGTCTGAGTGTAATGTTTTCTTATCCCTGTGCATCTTTGGGTCCTCACTGTCTCCTGGGATAATGTTTTACACGGATGAGCTTCCACCCAAGATGACTGTTGCAGCGATTGCATAGTTGGGAATCACCAAGGTCCACAGAGCACTCCTGGGACATACAATTACCCCCACAGCACTATTGGAGTGCAATGTTTTCTCTTTTCGTACTACACAGACTATGTCCCAGACTTGCAAATAACTTGGGAGCTCTGAGCTTACACTAGCACCACACGAATACTGCACTTCCCGAATTACCATGCACCCGTGCAGGAGGTAGGGACCAGTATAAAAGCAGCAACTGTACTCGACATTTGAATTGTACCTTCTAATACGTGAGCATGTTTAACTGCAATTTTTGATACTCTTCCAAATGTTTATATAGTTAAGGGACTTATTTTGCCCACGACCAATTGGTGGTTATAACTCACCAGAACACAAGCTCTGAGTACCGTGCCCGTTACATGCAGTACACACAACATATCTCAGCATACTCACCAAGCCCGGTGGTCTACACTACACTGTGTGCCATGCAACACAAACTCTCACCACTCCTTAGCACACACACCAAGGTGCAAATATCACCCACTCTATATCATTGAAGTAGCCATTGGCTAGCGGGACTGATTGAGTGGTTCATTTACCAACGGTTAATATGTCTTTATCTCACTAAAAGCAACCACAAGCCCAACATATCCCCAATAGCGTCCCCTGTATCACTCGGATGCATTGGGAGAGATCTCCACCCAATTCTCAAGTTTTCCATACTGGATGTTTAGTTCAGTTTATGTTAATATTGTTTTAATACATAATGTCTAGTTGACTCGCCTGTGAGCCTTGGCGGTGCACCTGCCTGTTTGGCGCACACCAGGAACCCCAGAGGGCGCCAGGAGGACTCACTTGGCACACCCAAATCCAACCGCAAATCGCCAGAGGGCGATCATCCTGGTCAAGGAATGACCAGTACTGTCTGCTTCTCTATAATTTCTTCTTACCCTTCTATACCTGCTAGGGAAAATATCGCACCAACAGGAGGGGGGTCTAGAGTACACAGAATGGTGCACACCAACGCACCAATCTCTCATGATGTCAAGGGGCGGAATGCTCCATTTAAGCGTCATGCACTGTACCGAGAGATTGCCCATCGGAAGGGTGATATATGTTTACAAGAAACACACTATAGGAAACATGACTAATGCAGATTCCAAACCAGAAATTTCCCATATCAATTCCACGCTACGGCTGATTCCAAAGCCAAGGGCGCCTCCATTATGTTCAGCCATCAGCTGACGTTTACCCTGATTAAATCTATCATTGACCCAGAAGGCAGGTTTGTAATAGTGGAGGCCTCCATTAAGGTGACAACATATAGTATAGCCGACATATACGCCCCCAATGATCGTCAACTGACCTTCCTCAAGATGGTACTAGCAAAATTAGACAAGGTCCAACAAGGCATGTTGATCCTTTGTGGCAATTTTAATTGTACGCTGGAACCCACCTCTTAGACTCTTCGTCACAAAAATCCCAAATTAGAGCAATTCAACTCCACAAGGTTGCACAGCGCCTAATCTCTCTCTTCGCATTATACAACTTATATGATGTATGGAGAGCTGCCCACCCAACTGACAAAGAATTCATGTTCTTCTCCCCAGTACAAAATTGCTATACTAAAATAGATCAGTGCTATGTCCAGGGTCAGTCACTGCCACAGATAGACGAATGCTCCATAGGAAACAGACTGGTCTGACCATGCCCCTGTCATTTTAGATATCTCCGACACCTTTGCCTTCAAAGGTAAACCGAACTGGCGACTGAACGAATCGCTGCTTCAAGTCACAAAATTTACTGCCACACTGCACGAACATATAACACAATACTTCACCAACGATACCGCAGACGTAGGATACCCTATATAAATTCAGACCTACACACACAAGCTCACTTACACACAAGCTCACTTACAAACACACACAGACAAGCTCACTTACAAACACACACAGACAAGCTCACTTACAAACACACACACACAAGCTCACTTACAAACACACACACACAAGCTCACTTACACACACACACAAGCTCACTTACACACACACACAAGCTCACTTACACACACACACAAGCTCACTTACACACACACTCAGACAAGCTCACACACAGACAAGCTTGCTCACACACACATACAAGCTCACTTACACACACACGCTCACACACACACGCACACAAGCACACACACACACAAGCTCGCTTACACAAGCTCACTTACACAAGCTCACTTACACAAGCTCACTTACACAAGCTCACTTACACAAGCTCACTTACACAAGCTCACTTACACAAGCTCACTTACACACACACACACAAGCTCACTTACACAAGCTCACTTACACACACACACACACAGACAAGCTCACTTACACACACACAAGCTCACTTAGACACACTCTCACAGACAAGCTCACACGTTCACTACAGATAAGCTCACTGAGACACAAACATAAAAGCTCACTCACTAGCAAGCACATACACACAAAGTAACTGGCAAATTAGCTGAAGCTTACCTGGCACTGAAGACTGAGAGCCATTTGTTTACCTCTTCGTGCTCATGTGGTGGCTCGTCGGGGGCGTGACTTATGAGCAGGAGGCGGAGCTTGTGTGCAGGGGTGGATC